TCCATTGATCAATGGAACATAATTGAGAATCCAGAAGTTATCCCATTCACATAGAGCCAACTGACTTTCGACAAAGTGCCTAGGTATACTGCATGGGGAGGAGATAGTTTGTTGAACAGATACTGATGGCAGAACTCCACAGTGATATGCAAAAGATTGAAACAAGAACTTTACCTCATGCCCTATACAAAAACCAACTCAGCATGGATTAAAGACCTAAATGTGAATCTCAAAATTATGAAGGTTATCAATGAAAAAATAGAGACAAATGTGAGGGCTCTAATTCACTGTGAAATAGACACTTGAGGAGGCTGGGGGAAAGGAATAGCCAGAAAAATCACAATAGAAAGCTTGTAAGTTCATCTTCAGCCTATAACTGATTGGAATACCTTAAAGGGGGCTAGAAGTTGGTCACTGAAAGAGACCTCCTGTGGAGCTTTTGCATTGCATAACACCAAATGTGGATTTATTGTCCTCTACTTTTATGATCTTTGCTGTTATTGCAGGTGTGAGGTGATAATCTCATTGCTGTTTTGATTTGCATCACTCTAATTGCTAGTAATCATGAACATTTCTTCATATGTTTGTTGGTTGCCTGGATCTCCTCCTTGGTGAAGTGGCTGTTCATGTCCTGTGCCCATTTTTTAATGTAGACATGAGTCCCTTATCTCATATGTCATTACAAAAGATTTTTTCCCATTCTGTGGGTTCCCTTTTTACTCTTCTGGTAAAGCCTTTTCATGCACGTAAGTTTTGAATTTTTAGTATGTTCCAATCATCTATTTTGCCTACTTTTGTGAAGTTTTCAAAATGTTTGGTAGTCTGTGAATTCCCTGAATTAGAGTCCTCACATTTGTCCCTATTTTTTCATTGATGGCCTATTTTTAACATTTATGTCTTTAATCCACGCTGAGTTGCTTTTTTTATAAGGTGTGAGGAAACAGTCTTGTTTCAATCTTTTGCATATCGCTTTCCAGTTCTGCCAGCACCATCTGTTGAAGAGACTATTACCTCCCCATGCGATATATTTAGGTACTTTGCTAAAAATTAGTGGGCTGTATAAGGATGGGTTAATTTCTGGATTCTAGATTCTGTTCCATTGATCGATGTATCTTTCATTGTACCAGTACCAAGCTGTTTTGAGCACTGTAGCCGTATAATAATGAAGTCGTGGAGAGATTTCCAACCTAATTCTTCTTCTTAAGCAGTGCTTTGCTTATCCTGGGTCTCTTTCCTTTCCATATAAAGTTTGTAATTGTTTTTTCCATCTCTTTGAAGAATGTTGTTGGAATCTGGATTGGGATTGAATTATATGTGTAAATTGCTTTGGTAACTATTGACATTTTCACAATGTTAAGTCTTCCTATCCAGGAACATGGTACATTCTTCCACTTTTGTAGGTGCCTTTTGGCTTCTTTTAGTAGTGTTTTGTAGTTTTCTTTGTATAAGTCTTTTGTTTCTCTGGTTATGTTTGTTCCTAGGTATTTCATCCTTTGGGTGGCTATTGTAAATGGTATTGCTTTCCAAATGTCCTTTTAATTGCTGTCGTTTTTGGTATAGAGAAATCCAACTGATTTTTGTATGTTAATCTTATACCCTGCCACTTTGCTGAATCTTGCAATGAGGTCTAGTAGCCTATTTACTGAGTCTTTGGGGTTTTCTACGTATAGGATCATATCATCTGCAAATAGGGAGAGTTTTACTTTCTCTTTGCCAATTTGGATGCCTTTAATTTCCCTGTCTTGCCGTATAGCTCTTGCTATAGCACAATACTGAATAGTAGTAGTGACAAAGAGCATCCTTGTCTGGTTCCCGTTCGCAGAGGGAAGGCTTTCAGTTTCTCTCCATTGAGAGTAATGGAGGCTGTTAGTTTTGTATGTTCTTGTTGTTGTTATGTGCTGTGGAGTCGGTTCTGACTCATAGCGACCCTGCACTGTCAGAACCGACTCCACAGCACATAACAACAAGAACATAAATCTTTACGGGAGCAGAATGCCTCATCTTTCTCCCGTGGATCCGCTGGTAGTTTTGAACTGCTGACCTTGCAGTTCGCAGCCCGATTCGGAACCACTACGCTGTTGGTTTTGTATATACACTCTTAATTATGTTGAGGATTGTCCCTTCAATTCCTTTGTTGAGTGTTTTTATCAGGAATGGATGTTGGATTTTGTCAAATGCCTTTTCTGCATCAATCGATATGATCATGTGGTTCCTTTCTTTTATCTTATTTATATGGTGGATAACGCTGATCGTTTTTCTAATGTTGAACCATTCTTGCATCCTGATATGAATCCCACTTGATCATGATGTATTATCTTTTTGATGTGCTACTGGATTCTGTAGGCTAGGATTTTGAGAATTTTTGCATCTAAGTTCATGAGGGATATTGGTCTATAATTTTCTTTCTTAGTGATGTCCTTCCATGGTTTTGGAATGAGGGTTATGCTTGCTTCATAAAATGTATTAGCAAGTTTTCCATCCTCCTTTATGTTCTGGAATAATTTGAGTAGAAGGTGACAGCTCTTCCTTGAATGTTTGGTAGAACTCACCAGTGAAGCCATGTGGACCTGGACTTTTGGTTGGGAGTTTTTTGATGACCTGATCAATTTCTTCTTTTGTTAGGGGTCTGTTTGGGTTTTCTACTTCACTGTGTGTAAGTTCAGGTAGGTCGTGATTTTCAAAAAATGTATCCATCTCTTCTAAGTTTTCAAATTTGTTGGAGTACAACTATTCATAGTATTCTGTTATTATCCTTTTGATTTCCTTTGGTTCTGTTGTTACATCGTCCACGTGGTTTCTAATGTGTGTTATTTGTGTCTTCTTTCTCTTTCTTTTGTTAGGTTTGCCATGGTTTGCCAATTTTGTTAATCCTTTCAAAGAACCAGCTTTTTGTCCTGTTGATTCTTTTTATAGTTTTCCTATTTTCTATCTCATTTATTTCTGCTCTGATCTTTATTATTTCTTTTCTTTTGGTGGCTGCAGGTTCCCTCTCTTGGCGTGTTTCTAATTGTTGTAGATGCCGTGTAAGTGTGTTAATTTTGGTACTTTCTTCTTTTTGGATATGTGCATTTATTGCAATAAATTGTCCTTTCAACACCGCTTTTACTGTGTCCCAAAGATTTTGGTATGTTGTTTTTTCATTCCCATTTGTGTCAAAGTACTTTGTGAATTCACTTTTAATTTCTTCTACTACCCAGTTGTTTTCAGCAGGGTGTTATTGAGTTTCCAAGAACAGAGGTGTTCTGCTATTTATTCCAGACCTCTTTTCATAAAATTGGGCTTCCAATGACTTGAGGACAAACACTACACTCTGTTGGGATGTACACAGAATCCCTTGAGGGACTTTAAATATATTGATGCCTGAATCCCAAACCCCAAACACTAATCAATTAAGTATTTTGTAAAAGCTTACTAGGAGATTTTAATGTGTAGCCAGGGCTGGAATACAGTGACCTACACTATATAGAACAAAGCATAACCTTTTTAAAACAAGTATTTGGTTAAGATTGAAGAAAAATGTTGTCAAAGAAGGAATCAGTTGGTTTAAAAACTACAGTTGTTAATCATCTGAGGGTGATACACACTAAACATGATGAATCTCCACGACAAGTGAAGTAAAATAAGCTCAACATAGAGGATCCCATATTGTAAAAGATCATATATTGTATGATTCCATTTATATATAAAATAGCCAGAATAGGCACCAGTACAGCTTTTAACTGAATAGTGCCTGGGTTTCAGACACTGCTAATTATTTTAAACACTGTCCTGTGAAGTTCAAATCAATCCAAAGATGGCATATTAGTGTGGGATGGCATTTTAAGTCTAAATCCAATAAAATTTCATTTTACATATGAAAAAGACCTAGAGAATGAAAATAGCTTGCCAAAAGTGTTAGTGATTCTGTAGTCCAGACTAGATAAGGAGGATTAGTCTAGTAATGTGCGAACACCATCAAGTATTTTTAAAATGAAATAGGATAGAATAGATCAGAAAAGGTGTTCTTTCAAGATTTTTTTTTTTTTTTAACCTGCACACATATGCTACTAGGGTCATGATAGAAAATATACGTGGGGGCTTCAAAAGTTCATGGAAAATGGAATAGAAAGATAGTGGATCTTCCCACAAGCTTTTGGAATACCCTTGTACAAGGATAAGTCAAAAACTACTGCTACAAAAACATCATAGAAACCTTAACTAAACAAATATATCAAAATGTTAATCTGTATATCTCCACATTTTGGCCATCTGGGCCAATAAACTTCTGAAGGCAGTGTTTCCATCTCTCTAACCTGTCCTAATGTAGCGCTGGATTGCAGGATAATGTGCTGGGATCACAAAGCCAGTTTGAACCATGAGGTCAGAGGTTCACACACACCAGCCGCTCCTCAGAAATCCTATACACGGTCTGTATGGGTTGGAACAAACTCGACAGCACTTAACAACAACAACCTTTCCTAAGAAGCTGTTAGCATAGTGGGTTATGAGTTGGGCTACTAACCGCAAGACCAGCAGTTTGAATCTATCAGTTGCTTCATGGGAGAAAGAAGAGGCTTTTGGCTCCTGTAAAGATTTACAGCCTAAGGAACTCTATACAGGGTCGCTATGTGTCGGACCTGACTCCATGGCACATAACAACACCACCATTACACTGAATTCTTCAATTGACACCATGCCAAAATGGCAGTTTGGGCATCCTCAAGGAATTCATAGCTTGTTTCTTTTCAATGTTCTTTGAGCTTTGGGAACAAAAAGAAATCTGAAGGGGCAAGATATCCCTTTCCACGTTATATTGTTAATACTGTTCAGAACTATTATACAAAATGAAATGATACCGTGAAGGGGGAAAAAATCTTAATCTGAGCCCAAGACTCTGTTTGATCTTATAATAGAAACCGACCTTTCAGTTTTATTCACTATAAATAAAAAGAATCTGCTTTTCTTTCATATTTTTATTAATTCTGTTTTTTAATTACACAAGCTATGTTTACAAAAATTACCTGGTGTTCTGCTACCTGGAACTTTCATATATAGTTGAACTGTGTTCATGCCCAGTATGGTATGACCAACGTGGCTTAGAAGATTTCCTGCTGATACGACACGCACAAAAGCAGGAAGTTTAGTAAGCTCATGTAGCTGCAACTTCCACCTGAAATAAAATAGCAGATCAAGAGCGAAACTTAGCTACAAATACTTGTGGAATTTAATTATTTATTCAAAAACCGTCTGTTCCAATTAGAAAAACAACTAAACCTACAGATATTTAACTACAGCAGTCATAGAAAATACTAGAATGTTCAAATTTTTCCAAGGAAAGACACCTAACAAATAGTAATTACTCAAAAGAGGCAGCAAAATTTTGGATCAAGTAAATTAAGGAAAACGTTTCTATTTTCATGAAAGCATTTTATAATTAACTAAAAATATAACTATTGGTGGGAACAAACAAGATGGCGGATTGGGTGGCGGTGCAGTAAAGGAGCTCCGCCAGCAACAACACAGGCTCAGGGGATGGTCCCAGAACTCTGAACCACATATAAAGGAATATTTAGAAGGTTGGAAGGCTCACAGCTGGGGGA